TTTTTTTTTTTCTTCATAAAATTGTACTTTATATTTTTCATTTGATATAAAGTTAAAAAAAGAAATCCTCTATTTTGAAATACAAAAATTTTCAAATGTTATTCCCATCTAAAAGTTTCTAGTACATTCATTCTTTCTGAAGAGAGTTATTTAAATAGACGTAAAATAAATTGCTCCGGCTAATTCTTATCCAACGCTGAGGAAAACAGGTTCCAGCGTGAAACGCAACGGACACATTGACGCAGAATGCTTTTATAGACACGGCGATTACGCTAATTTCCATTTTCTTTCCTTTGCGTCATTCTTGGCAATAGCGGCGCGTATAAGAATTACACGCGTTTTCCATGTTACATAAAACATTCGTGTAAACAAGAAAAACTAAGCACAGTATACCGGGGAAGTATGTATAATAAGACAAAGATGGCGGAACAATGAAATCGTTAGCTAGCGAGAGCGCTCCTGTACGTTTCGTGGGCCCGACTTTAGTCGGGGGTTGAACGCGCGCCCTCGGTCAGTTTCCCGTTTCACCCCAAGTATTCTGTGGTAGACGACCGTATTGATCTAGCATTTCGACTAACATGGCTTCTGTTGTCCCCAACAGCTGTTTTATAAAGAACCCGTACACGCTCGGCTCGTAACAACGCGCGGTCATTTAAAAACACGCGCGGCTGAGTATCGACACTCACACACACGTGCGCCAGCCAATCGCAAACACACGTGCACGCGAAAGGAACAACTATAGATCGTGGTGTATATTGCGCAGCATTAATGTTACGAACAGATAGCCGGCCGAGCAGCCAGCTGTTGTCACCTAATTATCTCTGTCGCCATTAACGGTAGGGTTCAGACAATGAAATCGACCGATAAAATGCAAATAGTCACTGCGGAGGAACATTTGCAAGCTCTCGTCGAGAAAATACTACCGTACAACGTGTGAAATATAATTCCACTTATAGGGTTTGGGGGCGGGGGAGGGGAGGGGAAAAAGGCTTCCTGCCTGTTGTTCGATAAAGGGTCGACGTACACGGCGGCCATGTTGGAATATTGAGATGGAGGAAAAGAAATCTATGCAATTTATAGGGTATTGTGATCAAGGCAAGAGAAAGTCACGTTTTGATCATAGAATTTTAGTAGAATTTATCTTGCGTTCCTTGTTCGGTATTCTTCAAATTTGTTAGCCTCGCACATGGGCGGCGACCATTTTTTCAGGCAGTAGATTCAGAGAGAAAGTATCCGCCGATGGCCTAGATAAATTCAGTAACCAGTATATAAAATACGTCATAATCTATTTTTCTTTTTCTTCGAATGTATTATTTCTTTATATTTGAATACTTACATATCGTATAAACGTAGAATACAATTTTTTTTGTTTTTTTTTTTTCCTGAAGACTGTTTATCGACAACTAAAGTTATGATATGACACTCGGCGATTAAAATTTCCTTGGAAAGAAGCCATAAAACGGTGAAATACAGCCTCGTCCAGGGGATTATCCGCTATAAGCGCATTCAATTATTCTCAGAACTGAAAGCTTTCGATTAGTTGGTGGAACGTGATGCGCAGGAATCGGTAAGCATTCGATCGGCAGCAAAGTCACGCAGGCATGATCTTGTGTTCCTTCTATCTCCTTTTATTGCTGATAGAGAATACTCTATCGGCGTTCGTGTTTTATCCGTAGTGAGAGTAAAAAGCACGCGGGCTCTCTGACGCGCGTACAGGAAGAAAAAGAAGAATTCATTGATTCACGGCGGTACGTCTGGATTATCTATTCCTCTTTGTTCCCTTAAATATTCAAAACACCGCCGTTGTTTTGTGTTTTGAGTACAGTTTACCCCGTAAGAACGCCCGATCAAGAACTTCCGCCTTTCCCTCATATTATTTTCGGCGGCCATTGTTATGCCGTGCGCGCAGAGCTCGCACGTCGACGTTTCGTTTACCCACAAACATTCGATTAACCCCGCGGCTCATTAAAATGTCTCTTTGTTCGCCGCGAGAACAAAGCCGCGATCCATTCGCGTCGTCGATCTTCGATTTTCTACTCCTTTGTGTCGTCGATGCTATAAGCGAGGTCGTCGATTCTTCGTTACTGCGTGATTGGCACGATTCGCCGAGGGTTTTCCTTCATCTGTTAACTTAGGTTATCTCTTAATCAGAAGCTTCTACAATTACAGATGTTAAAAGTGATAGATCTGAACGAATTTTAGTTAGACTGATTTAAAAATAAATTTAGATAAAGAAATTATTGTTCCCAAGATAGTCGCAATTAACGCCGGTTAAATCTCATTCGAATGAAAGACCAAAGATTTTTCGTAATGACTTGGTAATTACTTGGTACTTGATAATTCGCACGCTTTTAGCGCATACGACCCTCGAGGGACAATTCAAAACCAATCTACGAAGAAGAAATTTCTACCTAAGATAATTAGGGTTGTTAGGGATGTTAACATAGAACTGTGTTGTTTGCTTACTATTGGATTAGTTCCGCTGTACTGGATAGTTTACAATGTTATCATAAAGAATTATTTATCTTGATGAGAAATTAGTTGCAGCGTACAATGTTTTATGCTGTATGCAACTCGAAGTATGTGTGAATCATAGTTTGTCGACATGTTGTATTTTGGCGCAGGGTCGTAAATCTGCCTGGATTTGTGTTTTCCATCGATACGCCTTAAAGAGCCGATTATGGTTTTACCATTTAAGCGGATCGAAGGGCCATGTTCGTCTTATTGAACTCCTATACGTGGCATTACTTCTCAAACAAAAGCAAAACATGATCGTAAATTATGAGCTTATGTGTCGTTACACACTCTTTTGAACAATATCAATAGCATTCTTATTGAAACGTGGAACAGTTTCAATACTATAATACTGCAATGGCGAATTTAACAAGTTTCAAGAATAGATTCTTATTTTGTATGAATATTTTAGCAATATTAACGTCAACGTAATTCCAGAACTTATGAAATATTTGATGTAAAGAGAAAAAAATACAGCGGTAATAAAATTTTATGGACATGCCAACACACCACGTTTCTGCAGTAATCTTTATGACCTTTCTCCACGCATTTTGCACACGGTAGCTCTGGACATGCGTGTTATTATTCTTCTCTTTCCCTTCTTTCTCTTTTTAATTCTTGCACAAAGTGCGTTCACACGTACGTTGCACCGTACCGACGAAGTTGACTCGGATTCGTTGCACATGTTTGCGATGAATGTGTATATATATATATGTATCGAAACAAGAACAAAGAACTGTATATATACGAGGGAATTCCCGGCACCGAAATAGTGAAAGCGAGGTGATTATGCGACAAACGATCTCATGCAAACTGTGTACTTAACATCGTGATAACTTCATTAATTTTTATTATCTCCATGTCTGGAATTGTGTAACTAAACCACGTGTTTGAAATATGAAATTGGTATATAAGAAGAAATAGCAAGTGTGAAGCCTTAAGTTTATACAACATAGAACAAATCTCTCTTGAGTAATTTTCACGTATATTTCTATCGCAGTCTCTGTCGAACTGTTATACTTTGTATATTCCTTGTGAATTGTTTCCTGAAAAGTGAGAAAACCGACCATAGCAATGATCGTTTCTAATAAATTTTCGTGTTCCATGTTTGAGAGGTTATGAAGTAAAATAAAATACTTTATAATTGTAAATGAGTTTAATTACCTTATGAGACTAAATGTCATTCTTTTCAAAAGAGGATCAGTTCGTTTAACAACATGTAATTAGGGCCTCAAAGAATCACATGATACATTAAAATATTATTACTTTCATGCTCAATGCGCATGCGCGGGCCATTTGAAATATGCGTGAAGCAAAACCATGCAACAGAGGTCTTGAAACGACGCGAAAATCTTGTCGTTCGACTATTCGTTTGTTAAAAATTATGCACGTTGACGATCACACGTTGTTACTTGGAAAAGGGGTTCTAATTCTCAGTGGATGCGCTCTCTGATTCCGTGGAAATCGTAGCGATAGAGAGTAGACGGGACGCGTTGATTGGCCGCACGCTATCGCGCGAATCAGCAATCAAGATGGCGATGACGTCGCACGGTAGTTGCTTGCTGATTGGTGGGGGGTCGAGCGGCTGTCTTTCTATATAGTTTCGAAGTCACATTGGCGGGCTCAGTTGGGATACGTGAGCACGCGGGACACTAGCTTCAATACACAGCAATTCAGTGTAGCGTGTTTGAACTTTTTGCAAGTACGTTTCTGCAGTGGCAGAAAGACAATCATTTCTCGTCGAATGACAGTGGTACTTCAAACGGGGAAGTGGCATCGGTGAACGAAACGTGAAGGTGCATCCGGTTGATGTTCTTGTTGAAGTTTTAACTTTTGTTTTCGGAACCGGCGACTCACTTTTTTTTTTCCAACTTTCTTTTTCCTCGTGCTGAAGTTTTGAAAGCGAAACGCGCTCACAGATGACGCAACGTGTACCAAGCGCAGGCTTCTACGATACCGTTGTCGAAGACCATAATTACACCATGTTTTCCATGTACCCGCCAACCTCTAATGTGCCTGACCCGTGGCAACCTAACAAATTGGACAATGTTATGGTAAGAAAAATGATCTCCTATTATCGAATTTATCTTTCATGAATGAAACATTGAATCGTTAGAATAGAACCTCGCACTTGCTAAATGTAACATCGTAATACTTGAAGGATACTTTAACGTTTAACGCGTCTACGTCCGGGGGCATAAGAATATGATTTTTATCGACCGTGGAATGCACATTCCGGAGACGCAGACGTGTTGAATAAATTGTGAAACGAGAAAATATTTTCATTACTAAATAGCTGATATAATTAATTATTACTTCAAACTAAAAAATTTACCTTCCTTTTTATTTATGTTCTACGTTACCGTTCTACGTCTATTAAATTACTAGAATAAAAATACTTTATGTAAATAAAACACGGGAGGACGTTCTAGCACATCGAATTGGTAGAAACGAGCGTCGATCGTGTGTACGTTCGCTCGAGTGTCACAGTCGAAGGTCAATCGATATTAGTCGAACTAGAACCTATTTCTGCCATTACATCTAGTTGCCATTCACAATCTAGTTATTTCATGTTGATTATAGTCGGGAATAGATTACTATCATTTTTTTTTTTTTTTTACCGAATACTTTCTTTCTCCTCAACTTGTCGCGTTAGATTTTAAATTTTAAGGAGAAAGAGAACTTCTCTTTCTTTTATCAAGAAGAATTTAAATGCACTGTCGGGGGATAGAATGCTAATTAAAATTTAAGTATGGAAGTTGTACGGTGATAGTGCACAATTGGACTGATAATTGTGGACGTGCTGACAGTGACGTATGCTCGAAAATTTCTGAGAAACATCGTTATCGCGTAACACGTAAAAACGTTATTGTCTCACCTGATGAATTTCGTTTCTACTACTTGCTGAAAAAAACTTCTGCTTCTCTCATAATCGTAATATTATGTATAGACTATATATAATATTATTATTTGTTATTTGATTTATAGTCTTGTTTAAAGATTTATACTTCGTTGTCGATTTGTTGTAGCATATTTATTTTAATATTTTTTATTTATCTTAAAATTTTAATATTTATCTTCAAAATTTCCTTTCAAATAATAGATCTTTAAGGATCTTAAAAGCGCATACTTTTACTGCGGGCAATTATGTAAACGAGTTTAAAAGCGTTTCGAATTCTCAGGTAACTACGCCGTCGTCGTTAGGTTTCTCTGCCAATTTTTACAAACATTGCCTAGGTCATTAGCCGAAAATGACTTGAAGAAAACGTTCAGAATGCCGACATGTATTACACGCTGAGCCTAGTCAGTGTTTTTCAAACGATTATCATCTCAGACTGATCGTTATCTCTGGAAAGCGTTTTGCCGTCTTTAATTATTTAAATTATTAACGCGATTCTTTAATTTATTAATTTACAAGGCTGCAAGTAATATTATTGATGAAATACTATTGTGCGAATATTTCAATTTATTCATTAATGATTTACTAATCTAAAATTTATTAGGTTAGTAAGAAATACTTGAATACAAAAATACATGATTCTCCTCAGAATGCATAATTGGAAAAATTCTTAAGTAGCAGAAATTCCTTCCGAACATCTTTCGTCTCCAGCTTTCAATTTTTCTCCTTTCGAGTCGATCGAGTCGTTGAACCTGAGT